CGCAGAATGCATTTCTGTCCCTCTCTATTTTACTCTTATTTATTAATTTAGGATATATATATATATATATTTTATATATATAGTTATGTTATAATAATACATGTATTATTATAACATGACTAATTTATTATTCTAATGCTTTACGATACACAATATTTTTTGTTTTTCCATTTGGCGCAAAAATGTATAAATTTTTTGGATTGCCTACCCTTGAGCAGGCCACATAGAGTTGTCCGTGTGAAAAGCAAGGTTCGTTCAAATTAATTCCTGCCACTGCCAATGATTGTCCTTGCGCTTTGTTGATTGACATGGCAAATGCTAAACGTATAGGGAATTGCAGACGCTTGAATTCCAATGGCATTTCTATGGAAATCAGTGGAATCCTTGGTATGAAGACGTCTACCCCTTTAGCACAGCCAGTCAGAATAGTTGCCTCGATGATGTGCGTGTACAAATTTTTAATACAAAGCCTGGTTCCATTGCAAAGTCTTGGCGGATCTAAATTACGCAGCAGCATAATTGGCGCGCCTTTTTTGATGAGCAAATTGTGAGGTGGCATACCTACAGGTTCCAATGAGTTAAGGAATTCTGTCGGGTATTGAACTGCTTGTGATTCTTCTGTCACACTGTCAATTGATTTATAGGTTGTGATTTCTCCAGGAAGTAAATTTTGTATGTGTGCATTGATCTTTTTGACGCTCTCATTTTTTGGTGCTAGAATTGCTCTTTCACATAGCCACTCATGATTCTTGTAATTTTGTTCAATGTTTGGATAAACTTTTTCCGCTAGTTCTTCTTCCTTCTTTAAAACATTGCAAAATTCTTTAGGTAATGTAATTAGACCAGTTTCTTTTTCAGCTGGTATTTTACCATTACCTATCTCAAGGAGCTTCTCTGAAAACTCTCTCATTGAAGTTTGTTTTTGAAGATAAACTCGCATATTTGTGGTCAATGACATTTTTGTTACATATCTCCATAGATCAGATGCTTTTAAGCATGCATTGAGTTCGTCTGCTGATGTCGACCTCGGTATAACAGGGAGTGTCTGACGAAAATCTCCAGCCAACACAACTACAGTTCCCCCCATAAAGGTTTTTTTTCCACGCAAATCTTGAAGTGTCCTGTTTAGAGCTTCCAGAGCTTGTTTGTGAGACATTGTACATTCATCCCAAATTATTACACTGCACTCTTGCAGGACTTTTGCCTGTCCTGATCTTTTTGAAATGTTGCATACAGGATATTCTTCATGGGCCATGTTTAAAGGCAATTTAAAGGTAGAATGTGCTGTCCGTCCACCTTCTAAAAGAGTTGAAGCGATTCCAGAGGATGCTACTGCAACTGCTATCTTCTTTTGTAGACGAACTTTTGCCAAAATTAAGTTGATCACAAATGTTTTGCCTGTCCCTCCTGGTGCATCGAGGAAACAGATGCCTCCATGATCTTTGCTTATCATATCCAGAACTTTATTATAGGCCTCTCTTTGATCTGTAATTAATAGCGGTTCATTAGCAGCAACATATGCTTCCATGTCTTTGGCATTGTAATTCATCTCCCGCAGAAATTCATTGCTTTGTATGTTATTATTTCTATCGGGTATTGGCAGTCCGCATTTTTCTAGGCCTCGTCCTGCCATTGACAAACACTGGTCCTCTAAAAGGATTAGAGCCTCGTTAAAGATCTCTTGTGAAAAA